ACGCGTGGACAGCCAAGCACGCCGCCGACGACGACGCCTTGGCCAAGGACCTTGTCGACTTGTCGCAGATTGACGTACACTCTTTTTTTTGTCCATCTTCCATCTTGCGCACCTTGTACGTAGGCGTTCTACATGCAGCGGCTCGGCGCCCCGGGGCGCTTCAACGACGAGTGCCTCCGCTCGACCTTGTCGACGCTCGTGACGGGCCCGGCTCCGACGCTCGACGGCCACCGGCTCCGCCGTGCGCTTCTGGATGCAGTGCACCGGCAATGGTCGTTGCAGGACACCAAGGGTTCGAACCCGTATGCCCTTCGCTCGACCGTGTGGCGCCACGTCCTCGCCGTTGCGACCAAGGTACACTGAAGGACAACTTGTCCATCAAAACGATTGTTAAACGATGCACTAGCACTGGGCGGCCGAGAACGTGCCTCTTGGTTTTGTGTCGTGCGACTTGCTCGGATCGCCCGTGCTCTTGCGGCGCAACCACATGTCGGTGTTCTTCCCGGCCACCACTTCGATCCTCGGCGACCGCCCGGCGACGATCGCCGACCTCTACGACTCGATTCTTCTGCCTACGTTTGCGGCGTTGCCCACCGCGTCCTACTATGCGTCGCTCGAACGCCAGTGGCAGTCGGACGTGCTCGAACTGGACGTCGTGACGTCTGTGACGCTTTTGGACGTTGTCCACGCCGGGCTTCTCGGCGACGGTCGCCATGTCCCAAGCGTCCTTGCACGGACCGCCAGCGTGCTGTCGGGCGACGCGGCGACGCAAATGGCGATTTTCGATGCCCTTGTCGCCCACGTTGCGCTGCCGAGTACCTCGGACGATGCGAGCATGGGCGCCCAGGACGTGGCTGCGACCGACCTCGCGCTCGCGCTCTACCGTATGAGCGCCGTCGTCCTGCACGACATGCGCGCCGCGGCCGCCGCCAGCGCGTGCTTTGTGACCTTTCTCCTCGATGCGACGCCGTCGTTTTTGGCGGAAACGACGCTGCGTCATCTGGAAGCGACCGTGCGGCCGGCGCTCGAGCAGTCGCTGGCCACGTGGTCCAACTTGTACTGGCTGTGCAGCCAGGTGCAGTCGGCCTCGGGCGCGCCCGTGCTGCAGCTGTTTGCGTCGTCGATTCTGGACGAGATTGTTGTCGACGGGGACCTCGGCGCGTCGACGCGGTCGTTCATTGCAGCGATCGCCGATGCCGCCAAGTTGCTGCCGTTTCTGCAAAGCAACGGTCTCCACAGCGTCCTCCGCGTCGTGCTGCGTCACGC